GCGGGGGGCCGGGGGGCCTCGGAACCACAGGTGAGGGCCGTGGGGGAGGGCGAGGCTGGACCACTACCACCAGCCCCTGACCCACTCCCCCATCCCCAGGTGGCGGTGCCCTGCCTACCACGGCAGTACTGGGAGACGCTGGGGGCGCCTGAGGCCCCCCATGAGCAGCCCTGGCCCCTGCCTGTGCTGGTGCAGCTGGGCAAGCAGCTGGCCGAGATGCTGGTAGAGGTGGTGCGCATGCCCGGCAGCCTGGCCGCCCCCCAGGGCTCCTGCACGCTCATCCCCGTGCTGTATCACGTGTACTCCTTCCGTAGTTTCCGCCAGGTGGGCCCTGCAGGAGGCTGGGGGCTCTGGGGGCTGCGGGATTCCCGGGGCTTGGGGTGCCCTCTGCCCACTGTGCGTCCACTGGGGCGATCGACCTCTTTATCTGTATGTGCCCACCTTGCCCCCAGATTGGGATCTTGAAGCCCCACCCAGCCTTCACGCAGCTGCTGGCGACCGCAGCGGAGCACACGCTGACCTTTGAGGCAGCCGAGGTGCCCATGCTGTGCCCGCCAGTGCCCTGGACATCACCGTACACAGGCGCCTTCCTGCTGAGTCCCACGAAGCTCATGCGCTCCCTGGAGGGGACTACGCAGCACCAGCGCCTGCTGGACAGCTGCCCGCCCGCTGAGCTGCACGGCGCCCTGGATGCCCTCACCCAGCTGGGCAACTGCGCCTGGCGCGTCAACGGGCGTGTGCTGGACCTGGTGCTGGAGCTCTTCACCGCCAAGGGCTGTCCCCGTCTGGGTGTGCCCGCCCCGCCCTCTGAGGCGCCCCGGCCGCCCGAGGGCCGCCTGCCGCCCGGTGCCTCACCTGCCCAGAAGGCTGAGCTGCGGCGGGAGCTGGCCCGCTGCCTGAAGGTGGCGCGGGAGATGCACAGCCTGCGGTCGGATGCGCTGTACCGCCTCTCGCTGGCCCAGCACCTGCGCCACCGCGTCTTCTGGCTGCCCCACAACATGGACTTCCGCGGCCGCACCTACCCCTGCCCGCCCCACTTCAACCACCTGGGCAGCGACCTGGCGCGGGCCCTGCTGGAGTTTGCCCAGGGCCGCCCGCTTGGCCCCGATGGCCTCGACTGGCTCAAGATCCACCTGGTCAACCTCACTGGGCTCAAGAAGCACGAGCCACTGCGGGCCCGCCTGCTTTTCGCCAATGAGGTGATGGAGGACATCCTGGACTCTGCGGACCGGCCCATGACGGTAGGGGTGGGGAGGGCGGTGTCTGGGGCCCTTTCCCCCTCGTTTCTGTCTCCCCCAGCCTGCTCCCTGCGCCGGCTACCCCGGCCCCTCCCTCGGCACAGACTCCTGGCATCGTCCTTCCTTGGCCCCAGTCCCTCAGCGGCTCTGCCGCCTCTCTCTCCAGGTTAGCTCTTCTTCCAGAACCTTCCCCATCCCTGTCCTGCTCACTCAGGGCTGTTCCCGGGCGTCCCTCCCTGCCCATGGCTCTTGTCGCCCCTGCTGTTCTGGGGGGCTCTGTCCCAGCCTGTCTGCCCTAGCCAGGCTGGCTTGAGCCCCACTCTGACCCCACCAGGCTCGGGGACTCTGGCCCCGGCCTCATGCTGCCCTCCCTCAGGGCCGGAAGTGGTGGATGGAGGTGGACGAGCCCTGGCAAGCCCTGGCCTGCTGCATGGAGATCGCTCGGGCCGTGCGCGCTCCCGACCCCGCTGCCTACGTTTCCCATTTCCCGGTCCACCAGGTGAGCCAGCGGGGACCCTGCCTCGGGGTGTGCTTGGCTCAGGGTGGCTCAGCTGGAGGTGTGAGGTCGCAGAAGTGCGGGCGTCTAGCCTCTCTGCAAATCCCACTCGTGTGTTTGGCTGGTATCCCCTTGCGGGGGCCGGGCTATGGATGCGTCTGGCCCTGCAGTGTGACCTGGCTCAGCGGTGCTGTGAGCGGTGCCCGGGGCACCCTGGAGCACTCGCTCGAGCCCCGGGGTCCCTCACCCTCCTGTCGGCCCCAGGACGGTTCCTGTAATGGCCTGCAGCACTACGCTGCCCTCGGCCGGGACAGCATCGGGGCCGCCTCCGTCAACCTGCTGCCATCGGACGTGCCGCAGGACGTGTACAGCGGAGTGGCCGCACAGGTGGGCGCCGCGTCCCCCGCCCGGCCTCACGCGCAGGGCCTCTGTCCTGTGAACACCTGGATCTGCAGGTCGCGTGGCCCCTATCACCCGTGATGGGACCGGGCAGTCAGGGCGGGCTTCCCTGAAGGAGGTGTCAGAAGAGGGACCTGTGGGGTCCCTGGGAGGAGGAGGGGCTGCCGGGCGGCGTGGGAGGGGGAGGGTGTGCGCACCCACCCGCTGACCCCGACGCCTGCGCAGGTGGAGGTGTTCCGCAAACAGGATGCCAGACGGGGCGTGCGGGTCGCCCAGGTGCTCGAGGGCTTCATCAGCCGCAAGGTGGTGAAGCAGACGGTGATGACCGTGGTGTACGGGGTCACCCGCTACGGGGGCCGCTTGCAGATCGAGAGGCGCCTGCGGGAGCTCAGCACCTTCCCCCAGGTGCGCCTGCTGGACGCTTGGCTCCATGGCAATGTCGGGATTTCCACAGGCCCCGGCCCAGCGACTCCCCGGAACAGTTGGCCACTGGGCAGGAGCAGCCCTGGGGTGGGCCCCCCGCCCCCCAGCCTCGGGCTCCCGTTTCTCCCTCTGAGAGATGGTGCCAGGCTTCCGGGTTCTTAGACGGTCCTGGGAGGCCGTTGTCCTGGGAGGAGGTGGGTAGGTGCTGCCCCCCCCCCCCCCCCCCCCCCCCGTGCCCCCGCTGACCGCCGTCCCGCACCCCCTCCAGGAGTTCGTGTGGGAGGCCTCTCACTACCTGGTGCGCCAGGTGTTCAACAGTCTCCAGGAGATGTTCTCGGGCACCCGGGCCATCCAGGTGTGCCCTCTCCCCCTCCCCCTCCCCGGGCCCGCCAGGCTGTCCCTGCCGAGGGCCCCGCCTGAGTGAGCCCCGCGCCCTGTGTCCACAGCACTGGCTGACTGAGAGCGCCCGGCTCATTGCCCACGCGGGCTCGGCTGTGGAGTGGGTCACGCCCCTGGGCATCCCCATCATCCAGCCCTACCACCGCGACTCCAAGGTCTTGGTACGTGCAGCCCCGCCCCGCCATCCCCGCTCCGTGTCGGGGTGGGATTCTTGACCCTCCCCACCCCACTCCTGCAGATCAGCGGTGGGATCCAGACCCTCACCTTCAGCAACAGTGGGGACACCAGCCAGTGAGTGCTGGGCGCGGTGCCGGGCTGGGGGCTGCCCCCGGGTCAGGCCAGGCTCGAGGCGGCTGAGCCCTCCCTCTCCCCAGGAAGCCCAACACGCTGAAGCAGAAGAACGGCTTTCCGCCTAACTTCATTCATTCGCTGGACTCTTCCCACATGATGCTCACGGCCCTGCACTGCCACAGGTGGGCCCCGCGTCTGCAGCGCGCCTTGTGCTCTCGGGCCGTCTTCTGTGTGCGCACCCTCTTCTCGGTGTTGGGGACACAGTGGAGACCCGCAGAGTGGCAAAGGCAGGTGGTGAGGCTGAGTCAAACAGGGTCAGGGGACCAGGGTAGAGGCCTACAGCCGGTGAGGACCCTAGTCGCCTGGGGTGTTGGAGCTGGTGCCCAGCCAAGGACCACACGTAAGCACATGGAAAGGCCCTGAGGCAGCGAGGCGTGCGTGAGGGGGAAGGAGCTGGCTGGCCGGTGGGAAAGGTGTCATTGCTTTGAAAAGTGCTTGTGGTTCCGTCCAGGTGAGTAGTCGGTCCTGACGTATTCGTGGGTCTGGTCGGGGAGGTGTCTGGGTTTCTCTTCTGAGCCCCTCGGAGGTAACCAGCGTGGCAGTTAGGGCAGGTGTGTGGATAGGTGTGTTAGAAAGGAGTCCGTGTTCACGGACATACCACACTTGTGCCCACCTCCACAGCGCTGCAGTGGGGGTTGGGGGACAGTATCAGCTGCAGCAGCTGGGGACGGGCGGGGGCAGCGACGTGGGACAGGGTCTTCTTACTAAGAGGAGAACCCTTCACCTGTGTGAACAAGACGGGGCACAGTCAGTGGCTGGGACGTGGGGGGTTGGGAGGTGTGAGGAGGGTGTGTGAGGCTGGACCGAGAACACCTGAGCCGACCGGCAGGGCGCTGGTCCCACCAGCGGCGGGGGCTCGAGGCGGGCAGGGGAGCTGGGAGGGCAGCCCGCCCCACGGGAGGCCCTTACTGCTCCGCAGGAGAGGCCTGACCTTCGTCTCCGTGCACGACTGCTTCTGGACGCACGCAGCCGACGTGGAGGTCATGAACCAGGTGCTGCCCACCCCGCGCCCGGCCAGGCCCCCTTGACCCCACGCCCCGGCCTCGCAGCACGGGGCACCTGGCAGCCTCAGTTGGGCCATCAGCTCTAGGGTTGGGGCGAGACCTGGGAAGACCCCCTCCCCACCCCATTCTCCCTCTGATGCCCCGCCCCCGCCGCCCCTGCCCCCAGGTGTGCCGGGAGCAGTTCGTGCGCCTGCACAGCCAGCCCATCCTGCACGACCTGTCCAGGTTCCTGATGAACCGATTCTGCTCTGGCGCCAGGTGAAGGGCCCCCCTTCCCCCAGTGCGGCTGGGACCGCCCCTCCCTGCCTCACGTGGCCTCACCCCTGCCCTGCCCTCAGCCTCAGGTCCCCAGTGCACTCCAAGAGCATGCTGATCGACAAGCTGCAGGACACGCTGAAGTCGGTGCCTAAGACAGGTAGGGCTCAGACACCCTGAGGGCTCCCTGGAGGGGGTGGGGTGGGAGATGCAGCCCAGGGCCCTGCCCACAGTCTCCCCTGGGCCTTCCACAGGGGCCTTTGACCTGGAGCAGGTGAAGAACTCCACCTACTTCTTCAGCTGATGCACCTGGACCACCCTGGACCATAGTGTAAATAAAGCTGTTGCCACCCGTGGGGGGTCGAGTGTCTTCCGCCGGTCTCGGGGGTCCTGACCACCTGGGACCTGGCACCAAGCAGTCAGAAGCCGGTAGGCTGAACGCCAATGCTGTCGTTTATTGCGCGGAATGGGGGTGTGGGGGTTAGGGGTGTGGAGCGCGGTGGGGGCGCTGCTGCCTCGGCCGTGAGTACATTCATCTCCAGGGCGGCCCGGCCTCAGGCCTTACCCCTCCCTCCCCCCCACCCCGTGCCTGTGCCCGGGCGCAGCCAGGACTGCCCGCCCCTGGGCGCTGGAGGGGGCGGGGTGTGCCCGCTCGGGTAGGTCACCGCGGACGCTTGCGCAGACAGGGCGGGTGTGGGGGGGGCCAGGCCGGTTATTGCGTGAGCGCGATGGGGGCAGCAGGAAGCCGGCGGGCCAAATATTGCACTTGAAAAACAGAATCATCGGACGGGCCACCTAAGGGTGGGGGCGGGCAGGACTCCACAGCCATCTCCTTTCGGCCACGGGGCCGTCCCCGTCCCAGTTTCACAGTTGGGGGAACTGAGGCACCGAGGTGAAGGGAGCCCCCTCGCACGCTCGCAGGCAGGCGAGGCCGCCGCCGGGGAGGGTTGGGGGCAAGGACGATGTGGGTGGGCGCAGGGCGATGACGGGCACGGCGGGGTCTCGGAGGGGGCCGCCGCGCCGCCCCGGGCCCGCCCGTCCGACTACAACTACCTAGGACTCCTCTATGGCTTCTGGGGCGGGCGGGCGGCCGGCGGCCGGGGCAGCGCGCGATGGCATGGCTTTGGTGTGGATGACGGCCCCGCCCCCGGCCCGCCCGGGGCCCGCGGGGCGGCGCGGCGAAGGTCACAAGTTGGACGAGAGGCGCGAGCGCGCGGAGTCCAGCGGGTCGAGGCCGCCGGCGGCGGCACCGGGCGAGGCCGAGTCCCTGCGGTCCGGGCTGGGCGCGGCGGCTCGGGCAGCGGGCGCTGGCCCCAAGCGCGGCGTGGAGCTGCTGGCCGGCCGCGCCGAGGCCCCGGGGCCCGGGCCGGGCGCGCCGTGGGGCAGCGACGGCTGCGAGGCCGACAGCGGGCGCGAGGCGCGGCTCAGGCGGCGCGCAGGCAGCGCGGGTCCAGCGCGGGGCGCGGCGGGGGAGCCGGGCGTGCCGCCGTAGGGCGAGGTCCGAGGCGCCCGGGGGCTGGCGGGCGCGCCCGGGGGGCTGGCGGCGGGCGCGGGCCCCGGAGAGGCGGCCGCAGAGGGCGCGGGCGCGGGGCCCGGGGGCGGGCGGCGCACGAGGCGCGGCGAGCCGAGCGCCAGCGGCCCCACGAGCGGGCGCGCCACCTGCGGGCAGAAGCTCATGGCCACGGCCTGCTGCAGCGTGGCGATGGCCGAGGTGACCTTCGGCGGCGGCGGCGGCGGGAGGAGGCCCACGCGCTGGCCCAGCTCTGCCTGCTGCACCATCTCGCGGTCGTACTTGACGATCTCCTGGATGATGGCGTTCTCTTGGTTGTTGAACACGCCCGAGTTGAGATCGTGTTGCACCTTGTGCAGCAGGATGGAGTTCTTCTTGCCTGGGGGCGGGGCAGGGGGTCAGGGGCGCTGCAGTGCCTGCGGCAGCCGGTGGCGAGGAGTGTGCGTCCGCGGTGCCGGGCACCTGCTCTGTGCATCCGGCGCGCACACCGCTGCCTGCACCGCGACAGCTGTCGGCGCCCACTCTGCACCCGCACCTGCGGTACCTACCTGCCTGCTGGGGGAGCAAACGGCACGGAGCATCTTTTGCAAACTGTAGGCCTGTGACTGAGCGCCTGCTGTGCACATGAGCATGTATTGAACACTTGCTGTATAGAGCAAGCACACGGAAAACGTGCTATGTAGAGCGGCGAGCAGGTGTTGGGTACCTACTGTATACAGCTGGCACACTGATCAAGAAACTGTTGCATACAAGCACTCTGTATACAGCAAGCGTGCATGGAGCCCCTCCTGCCTACAGCGAATGGGTACCAACTGTCTGCTATGTATAGTGTAGCAAGCAAAACTGAGCACCTGCTATATATAATAAGCATGCGAGACCTGCCGCTGTATGTAGCAAGCAGGTATGGAGTACCTGCTGTATATGCTATTCATCAAGTACTTGTGTGTAGTAAGCACATTAGGGCACCTACTGCACAGGCAAAGCAGACATGGGACACCTACTGTCTATTCTCAGCATGCCGGGGGCACTTCTTGCATACAGGAGACATGTACACCCACAGTCTAGGCAAGCACTTAAAGTGCCTGCTGTGTACACAAAGCAGGTATGAGACACTGTAGCAAGCGTGCAATGTACGTCCCCTGTACAGTGATCCATGTATTGAGTACCTGCAGTATACAGCAGCACACCTAGAACGCTCGCCTGCACGCAGCCCGGGTGCTGAGTGTGCACCATATGGAGCAAGCATGTGTCGAGAGCCTACTGTATATCGCAAGTACATCTAAGCACCTGTCACTCGCAGATATGCTGAGCACCTATGTATAGAGGGCATTGTTGAGTGCCTGCTGTATGTAAACATGAATGCTTTCTGTATGCTGGGAAGTCTTTCCTCCAACACCTCTGCGTTCCACCCAGTCCTTTTCCGGGTGTCTTTATTTCCAAAAATAGAACAGGGGCCACCGCCTCCCTGACTCCTGTGTCTAGTCATCAGCAAGTGCGGAGGGCCCCACCTCCCAACCACTGCTGAGGTTACCCTCTGGCTCTCCCTGCACCCAAGGCCGGGCCACTGTCTCTCTCCTGTACGCTACCCAGCGTCATACAGTGCAAACCCTATCAGGTCCTCCCCTGCCTGAACCGTTCATGGCTCCCTACTGCTCCTGATGTACAGTCCAAACTCCTCTCTCCGCCGTGTGGTAGGGCCCGTGTGCCTGGTCCCTGCCGGTCCCCCCAGCCTCCCTCCTCCCAGCTTCTCCAGGCCCCTGGGCTCCAGGCCCTCCTTCCCACCCCCAGGCCTCTGCACATGCTACGTGCACCCCTAGAACACGCTCTATCCCTATGTACCTGGCAACAGCCACTCAGCCTGGTCTCTACTCAGCATCGCGGGGAAGCCCCCGTCGCCCCTACGCCCCTTCCTCTGTGACACAAGCCTGAGGGTGGCCTCTGAGCCAGCCTCCTGGCCCAGCACCCACGCCTCCTGGCCCACCGTAGGTGCTCCACAATCATTTGCCGAGCGAACAGAATTTCTGCACAACTGGAAACCCTCCACGCTTGCTCTTCCTTGGGGATCAGGACTGCGTTTGGCCAAGGGACAAAGAAGGTCTGAGAATCTGGTCTGGGGACTAGAAGGGGACTTGAGGGTCAGCTGGGACACACGACCTCACCCCAGCCTGATACCCCCCCACCGCTGAGAGCGGCTCACTCACCGATGCGGTCCAGGCGGTCGATGGCGACAGTCTCGAAGGCCCGCCGCATCATGGGGTACTCCTCCAGCACCTCGTTGAAGTGGTCCACGCTCAGCGAGTAGAGGCGGCAGTAGGTGTCGGCGCGCACGCTGGCCGTGCGGCGGCCCCGCGTCAGCAGGCAGATCTCTGCGCGCGGCCGCGGAGATAAGGGAGAGGCCTCAGCTGCTGGGCCGCCCCTGCCCCCCCCCCCCCCCCCCCCGTCCGTCCGTCCGTCCCCACGGCCCGCCCAGCCCCCGACCCTCCGCCAAGACAGCCCTTCCACAGGCCCTTCCTGGCGCCCACGGCATCACCCCTGCAGGCTCCCTGCCTGCCCCAGTCCCAGGAAGGGGGTCGCGCTCTGTCGCCGGCCGCTGGTCCCCACAGGTGCTCACCCCCGAAATAGGAGCCGTCGGACAGCTTCATCTCCTTGTTGCCCTTGGTGAGCACGCTGACCACGCCGTGCTGGATGAAGTACATCTTCTTGCCGATGGTGCCTTCGCGGATGATGTAGTCACCCGGCTGGAAGACCTCGAATTTGAGTTTGGTCAGCATGGCCGTGACAAAGTTGGGGTCGGCATTGGCGAACAGTGGCATCGAGGCCACCAGCTTCCGGCAATTGAAGTTGACGATCTCCTGTAGGGGCGGGAAGCAGGGGTGACACAGGGCGCAAGCCTTTGTTTCCATCTCGTCCTCCAGGCCCTCGGGTTCTTCATCTATGAAACGAGTTTTATTTTTATTTTTTAAATTTTTTTAATGTCTTATTTATTTCTGAGAGAGAGAGAGAGACAGCATGAGCAGGGGAGGGTCAGAGAGAGAGGGAGACACAGAATCTGAAGCAGCTCCAGGCTCTGAGCAGCTGTCAGCACAGAGCCCGACGCGGGGCTCGAACCCACGAACCGCGAGATCATGACCTGAGCCAAAGTCGGACACTTAACCGACTGAGCCCCCAGGCGCCCCTATGAAAGGAGTTTTGAACACTTGAGCCTGAGAGCCACCATCTTACTTACAGGGCAGACACTGGACGGTTTTGCTGCCAAGGACAAGAGCCAGAAAACACGTGCAGTGATTACTGCCTCTACCTCTGTATCAGCAACGCTGGCCGGCGCAGTCAGGCAAGAAAAAGCAATTGGAGACATAAGAACCGGGAAAGAAAAAGTGACACTAAATCTCTTTACTGTCTTTTTTGATATGACGACCTGGAAAACCCAAAAGACTCCACGTAAGAGCACAACGTTAATAAGGATGAAACTAGCAAGCCATTTAAAAAGAAAAATATCAACATAAAAACCCAAGAACTGTAAACTGAGTAAGTGGCGGCCGAGACCAGGGTGATGATCTCCGACGGGGGAAGCTGCTCCACCTTCCACCCGAGCAGGGGCTACGTGAGGGTCTTACTCTCGTCCGGCCAGTGAGCCCTGACGACGGGGGGAAACTTTTTCTCTAAGATACATTTCATTTAAAAAGGAAGCTTAACCTTAAAAGTAAAATCAACAGCTTTTATGTATTCAAACAAAAACCACTCAGAGGAAGACCCCAGAGACGAGAAGACCCCACTGACACCAGCACAGAGAGCGGAGTGAAACGGCTCGGCACGAGGCTACGAAATGTCCGGACCCAGAGGCGGGGGACGTGGAGAGTCCCCTGGGAGGCACATGGGAGGCCGGCCCACTCCGTCGTCGGGCAGAGGGCCTCACCATCGCGAGGACCAAAGACATCCGTTCTCCCTATTCATCTACACGTCACACGCTCCCAAAGAAAACACCATCAGGTTTGCTTTTTAATTACTGAAACTACGCGAGGTCATTTAGAACAAATGAGCAAAACTAGCAGGAAAGCCCGCAGCAGGGAGGAGGAGAAGGGGCGGCTAAGCTTCCGCACTGACACGCGCTGCGCGGCCTCCACGGGCTCGGTGCGCGGGGCACACGGGGAGGCCAGACATGTGCTCGGGCCCGATGCAGCAAGGTGAAGGCTGCCCACAAATTACGAGGCAAAACCAGACATTTCAGCCCTGCCGCAGGAGGTGAGGCCGAATCCCGTCCTCACAGGATATTCCAGGAGTCCAAATGGCGAAACTGCAGAAGTGCAGTAAGCAAGCGTGGGCGAACCCCCAAATTGGGTGTTTACAGTAACCAGGTATTGGGGCCTACTACATACGGCATGTATGTACTGTGCACCTGCTGTATACAGAGAGTAGGTATTAAACACCTATTGTCTGCAGCAATTAGGTACCAGTACCTACTGTGTAGAAGAAGCAGACGGAACACCTGCTGTGTACAGAAGAGAGATACTGACCACTGCACACCCACTCTGTGCAGCGGGCACACATTTAGCACCTACTGTGTATAGCAAGCCCTCATGCAGCATGAAAGTCCCACGTGGCAAACAAAACAAGCCCCACAATAAGCAAAGTTCAAGGACAGCCATCGCGAGGCAGATTCGTATCACATAAAGGATTTGTGAAATAACAAAACATGCTGTAGAAACACAGAAAACAAACCCCGTAGCTGCTCCACAGAAAGAGATACACAAATAAAACAGCTTCTGATCACATTACGAACCCCAGACGCCCCTCTCACCCTGTCATTTGGGGCGGGGTGTGCTCAGAGCTCTAGGGGGTACAGAGGGGGACTAGGCCCTGCCCTCACCCCACAGCCCCGTCCCAAATGCACGAGCAAAGCCCCAGGGGTGCACGCGTGGAGCTCAGGGAGAAGGGAGGGCCCCCAGAGGACCATGCAGCGGGAGCCCAGTGAAGGCAGCTGAAAGCAGAGGGTGTGCCTTGTTGCGTATTGAAAACGGAAATGGGAGATGCAGCCAGAGGAAATCAGGGGGCACAGGATAGAGACCAGAAGTCGTCTGAATGTACGTGTTTTTATAAATTTGACTTTGAAACTGTGTAAACAAATACTGATCAAATACGGCTTGCCAGGGGCCGGGGGGGTGGGATGGGGAGTGACGGCCAGCAGCCAGCGGGGCCCTGGCGTTTGAGGGTGCGGTGGGCCAGATAGTGGTGATGCCACACAATTGTAAACACACTAAAAACTACCGGACCGTGGGGCGCCTGGCTGGCTCAGTGGGTAGAGCGCGCGACTAGGTCTCGGGGTTGTGAGCTCGAGCCCCGCATCAGGTGTAGAGATTACTTAAACTAAACAAAGATAGCTTAAAAAAAAACCTACAGGAGGGGCGCCTGGGTGATTCAGTCAATTAGGCGTCTGCCTTCGGCTCAGGTCATGATCTCACGATTTGTGAGTTCGAGCCCCACGTCAGGCTCTGCTGTCAGCACAGAGCCCACTTTGGATCCTCTGTCCCTCTCTCTCTGCCCTACCCCTGCTCACACTCTCTCTCAAAAATAAACATTAAACACACACACACACAAGAGGAGGAGAGACACAGGAGAGAAGGCCACGTAATGGCAGAGGTAGAGATCGGGGAGAGGTGGCTGCAAGCCGAGGGGCACCCAGGACTCCCACCAGGAGCTGGGAGAGGCAAGAAGGGCCCCGTCCTGGGGCCTCGGGAGGGAGCATGGCCCTGGCACACCTGGATCTTGGATTTCTAGGCTCCAGAAGATGAAGGAATAAATCTCTGTTGTGTTGAGCCACCCAGCAGGCGGGAGCTGATTACAACTGTGCCCGGAACCTTGCCCGAAGTCACACGGGCCGTGACAGGCAAAGCTCGTGCCTCATGCGGGCGCTCGGCAGGGCTCTTGTGCTTAGCAAAGGCCAACGACCACCCTGGGCTCGGCAGCTGCAGCCGCCTCCCCTGTGTCCAGCACGGACCCCAGACGGGGTAAGTGGGATCAGGCAGGGGCTGCGGGGGGAGCCCAGGACTTCTGCAGAAGGGGAGTGTCTGGGGCGTCGAGGGGCATGGCGGGGGCGCGGTATGTGAAGGCTCTCCGAGGGGCGCCTGCTGAGTGCCCCAGCCAGAGCTGGGCCCGTCCCCGCTCAACCCCAGGATGGGCAGCCTGGCAGAGGGAAGGCCCCATGGAGGCTGCCTCACCTCCCGCACGGCCTCACCTCCCGCACGGCCTCACCTCCCGCAGGGGCCTCACCTCCCGCAGGGGCCTCACCTCCCGCAGGGGCCCGCTGAGCTCGCCCAGGATGCTGTCCTCGTCGAACATCTTGCCCTGGTACCGGTGCTCGTAGTAGTCGTGGATCTTCTGGCGGAAGTCAGCGGGCAGCTTGTGGAAGGACATGTACTGCTCCACCTGCTTGTACTACATAACGGGGTGGGGGCCCGGGTCAGCGGCTGCCACCTCGAGGGCCCCTGCTGCAGCCCAGACACGGCCGCCAGGCTCAATAATGACCACAAACACGGGTGCCTGGTTAAATCTGAATTTCAAATAAACAGCAGAAAGCTGTAACGATAACCCGAGTGATACTTGGCACATGCTTATACAGAGAGAAATTGTTCCTTATGGCCTAAGTCTTATCTGGGAAATGGGTGCACAGCTTGGCTCTTGGCCCTCACAGCAGGCTGGGCCAGACTCCTCGGTCCCCCAGGATGCCAGAGCCCATCCCAGAGGCACTGACTCTGTCGGTGGCCCTGCCCCCTCCCCCGCCAGAGATCTTTCCAGAAACCGCCGGCTCAGCCCCACCCTGCTCAGGACAGGGGTGCCAGGCCCTGCTGTCCCCAGGACAGTGCCCCCAGGCTGCCCCCAGCCCCGTTTCCGCCTGGACACAGCTGCCCTGAGCTCAGCGGAACCCGTGATGCCAGGCGGGTGGCAGCACCAGCTCATGTTTGGGTGTGAGGGCCGTGGCTTCCGGACAGCCGGGGAGCCTGGCGCCCGGCCCAGCTGACCCGACTGACCCGGCCGGCACTGCTGGGAGGTTGGGGGGGCACCCCAGCTGCCCAGCCAGGACCAGCCACTAGGCGGCAGGGCAGGGCAGCTGGGCTGTGTCCAGGAGAGGCGAGCACACCTCGGCGCTGGAGGGGACACTAAGGCAGGGGGCAACTCTAGAAAAGGTCAGCACAACGGCTGTCGCCCACTCTCCCTCTGCCCCTCCTGGCCCCCAGCTGGCCCTGGCACCCCCCACCCCCAGCCCTAGGACTGGCTCTGTGGAGGCTGTTCCCACCCAGAGGCCAGGTCTGAGGGGCCAGACACCCTTCGGCTCCTCTGGGGGCCTCCTCTGTGGGTTCAGTCACCTAGCATGTCCGCAAGCGACCCCAGGATCATTGGGCTCTTCTCTGTGCTGTCCCTGCTCTGGCCCCTCCCAAGCTGGCCCAGAGGCCCCTGGGGGTGAACCCCACTTCCTAGGCAGCCCCTCCAGCATCTCCAGCCCCCGGGAGCTCCCTGACGCCCCATGGACCGGCCTTGCTGTGTTCGGACCATCCCCCCCCCCCCCCCCCCCCCCCCCCCCCCCCCCCCCCNCCCCCCCCCCCCCCCCCCCGGCTCCCATCCTCTTCTCAGCTTGTGTCTTCCCCCAACCCACCCACCTTGTCTCCCACCCAGGCTCCAGACCTCCCTCCTCCCGAAGGGCCCTGAGCGTCCTCACCGCCTGGGGGACCTTTTAACTCCTCCTAACCGCAGCCACAGACCCCCCCTAGTGTCCTCAGCCCCCACATGCCCTGCCGGCTCCTGTCCTGGGCACAGCACAGGGGGCCGAGGGACAGGGGGGTGGGCCCCCAGACCTCCAGACGCTGCCTCCCCTCAGACCTTCTCCTGGTACTGGCGCCGCGAGGAGTCCAGCGACTGGATGAGGGCGGTGGCGTGGCCAATGAACATGGCGTAGCAGGTGGCGCCCACGATCATGCTCAGCATCGTCAGCCAGATGTCCGTCATGCTCTCGGGGGCCTGCCGCCCGTAGCCGATGCACAGCATGTGGCTCATGGCCTTGAAGAGCGCGAAGGAGTAGAGCTCGCTCCACGAGTGGTTCTGCAAAGCCACGGGGCCGGGGCGGGGGGGCAGGTGGGCCGAGCTCGTCCCCCCTCCCCCAGGGAGTCCCTTGAGCCCAGGCCCCTCCCCGCCACCCACCCATCCTGCCACCTAGGCCTGTCTGGCACCCGAGACTCGCCCGTATTAACGGTCAGCATCTCAGCCAGGAATCCACACAGAGGTGCTTGCGTCCTCCCTCAGTGCGTTCTCATTTCTTAAGGCCGAGATACGGCTTCCCCATTTCAGGGTTGGGCGCGATGAAGTTGTCTTTTACAGAATGTACGTAAATGAAAAGTGGAAACAATCAGAAGAAAACTGCAAGCAGGTGACTTTATCTCCGGGTGCCAGAAGCTGTCCCAGGGGTGCTCCGTGACCGGGGTCTGAGGGGCTCAAAGTTGCCAGAGCACCGAGAGGGGCGCTGAAGGGGGGACTGCGCGCCGCGGGTGCCGGCGCGGGTCTGGGGGTCCGGCGGGGCACCGAGGGGGGGCAGTGTGGGGACAAACGCAGCAGGCGGCGGCTCACCACCATGCCATTGATGGAGACCCAGCAGTTCCGCGGGAAGTCCTGCAGCATGGGCACCAGGAACTGCAGGCAGCCGTCCCAGTGGCACAGCAGCAGCATCATGCTGATGAGGTTGCAGATGCGCATCACCGCGCTCGCCAGGTCGTAGGTCATATGGAAGATCTGCGGGCGGGGCGGGCGCGAGGGGGAGCTGGAGGAAGACGCCCCCCCTCCACCGCCCCGGGGCGGGCAGAACCCCAGGCCCTGAGACTTGCGAGGGGGGGGGGGCGCCTCATCACACACCCCACCCCCACCCCCACCCCGTTGCGCTTCGGGTTGACGCAAGCGCGCGGCCCAGGTCAGCCGCCTCTTCCCCAGACCCATTCCCCCACCTGCTGCCACTCTCAGAGCCTTGCTAGAGCCCCCGAAACTGGGGGCAACATAGCCGGCAGCGGGCTAGAGGCCAGTCCGGAAGTGGGGTCCCATCGGAGCAGAGGGGCGTGACCTCGCTCCTCTGGGCCAGTTTCCCTGCTGCCAGGGGAGCAGTGTGATCCCCCTCTTACAGGGCAGAATGAAGGGAGGGGGCGCGAATGCGTGGAGGGCCCGTGTCCTCCGTGCCCGCCATGCCCGCCCCCCTCCCCCCAAGCCCCTCGCAGGCCTCCCTCGGCCGCACCCGCCTGCACCTGCTCCGGGGCTCACCTCCTCCCACTGGTGGATGTAGCGGATGAGGCGCGACAGGCGCAGCAGCCGCAGGAGGCTGAGGATCTTGGTGAAGCGTACGATGCGCAGCGCGCGTGCCGTCTTGTAAACCTCGGAGTCGATGCCCTTCTCCACGATGAGGAAGATGTAGTCCACGGGGATGGAGGACACGAAGTCCACCACGAACCACGTGCGCAGGTACTTCTTCTTGATCTTCTCCGGGTCCAGGATAATCTCCGTGTTGTCCTCAATCACGATGCCCGTGCGGAAGTTCAGCACCAGGTCCATGAGGAAGAATGTGTCCGAGACCACATTGAATACAATCCACGGGGCGGTGGTCTCGTCCTTGAAGAAGGTGATGCCCACAGGTATGATGATGAGGTTTCCCACCATGAAGAGCAACATGGTGAAGTCCCAGTAGAACCTGGGGGCAAAGCATGGACGATCACGCCTCCAGGCCTTTGCCCACAGAGCCCTGGCTGCGGGGCGTGCTATCGCCACCGCACTCTCACACACACGCACACAAGCCTTCAAGGACCAGCCTGGGTCTCGCCTCCTCCAAGCCATGACCCGGGCCCCAAATCACAGTGTGTACCCCAGCTCCAGGAAGCCCTACCACCCCTGACGGCCCCCCACTGCCCGCTGGGCTCCCACAGCCTGGGTTCCTCCGGCTGGCCCAGCTCTAACCTTCCCTCCTTGCAGAAGCCGGACAGGGGCGCCTGGGTGGCTCGGTTGAGCTTCCCACTTCAGCTCAGGTCATGATCTCACAGTTCGTGAGTTCAAGCCTCGGAGCCTGGAGCCTGCTTTGGATTCTGTGTCTTCCTCTCTCTGCCTTTCTCCTGTTCCCACTCTGTCTCTCTCTCTCTCTCAAAATTAAATAAATATTTTTAAAAATTAAAAAAAAAAAACAAACGGGAGACCTGGCAGAGCCCAAAAGGTCCCCCCAAAATTGGTTGTTTCCCATGACCAAAAAGGACCAATGTGCAAAACACAGGGTTAGCGTCCAAAAAAACATTCTGTATGAAAAAAAGGGGAGACAAGTGAGGAGGAGCTGGGTGGCAGGGAGGAGGGGGCTCTGGAGGAAGGGGCAATGGGCATGCAAGGGGGGGGCAGGCACAGTGGGGGCAACGGGGGCTGGGGGCAGGGTGGGGACGGGAAAGCAGGGCCGCACCCCGTCCTGAGTAGCTGGGCTTCGTGTGAGGCACCAGAAGGGGTTCCTGGCCCAAGTTCCGCCTCGGGCAGCACCCTGGGGAGTGGGAGGCAGGGGCCTAGGCCCCCGGGCGGGGGGGCGGGGCCGCTGGGAGAGGCTGAGAGAGGACCTTTCATGGGATAAGTTCGCCTGAAAAAGTGCTGACTGGCAGATTCCGCTCCCAAGTCCCTGGGGCCGACTCCAAGCTCCACCCGGGAAGCGCTCGCTGGGAAGAAGGCCCGTCCGCCCCAGCAGCACGCGCTGGCGGCGCCCCGGGGCGTGAGCTCCACGGATGCCCAGCGCAGCGGCGGCCGAGAACTCCAAGGAATCACCGTTCCGCTGGCTCCTCACAAACCCAAACAGAAGCGGGGCGCCTGGGTGGCTCAGGGGGCTGAGGTCATGATCAAGCCCCTTCTCAGGCTCCGCGCTCATATCGAGGAACCTGCTTGGGACTCTGTCCCCCCCCGCCCCGCCCCCCCCGCCATGGTCTCATTCTGTCTCTCAAAATAAATAAACCAAAAAAAACCAATTACACAGATTCATGGTCTGGCCCGCCAATTCCACTCCTAGGTGTGAACCCTACGAACTGAAAACGGTTAACTGCGCACGCACGTTCACAGGAACACGATTCACAAAAGCCAAAGGTGGAAACTTCAGTGGGTGACTGGATATACGCACCGTATGCACCGCGCACGCGCACGTCCCTCAGGGGCGGCCACCGCGCACGCGCACGTCCACAGAGGACGGTGTCCACCGCGCACGCGCACGTCCCTCAGGGGCGGCCACCGCGCACGCGCACGTCCACAGAGGACGGTGTCCACCGCGCACGCGCACGCCCCTCGGCCGCGAGCACGAGCGAGGCGCCCACACCCGCCGCCCCGCGGACGGACCCCGAACACACGACGCTCAGGGCGGGAACCAGACACGGGAGGCCGCGCGGGTGTGAGTCCGCGTGCGTGACGCGTCCGGAACAGGCTCCTCCACGGGCGGGAGGGGCTTGCGGGGGCGGGGGGGTTTTAGGGAAGGTGAGAAAGTTCTGGGTATGGATGGTGGTGACAGCTGCGTAACATCGTGAATGTACTTAATGACATTCGATTGTACACTTTTAAATGAGTAAATGCCAGATTTTATGTTATATGTATGCCGACACTATGAAAGAAAAGAAAAAGGCTTCTAAAAAACTCTGAGGCTACGGGTTGGTGGGGCCGGGGGTCTCAGTGATGATCGGAATCCCCAGATCTGGGGTCTGGGTCCCCACATCCTGTCTAGATCCAGGTGAAGGAAGTCTCGAATTTTATTTTGTTCTTCGCTTACTGAACACCGCGGAGAGAGCAGCCCTGTGAGCTCTCGGGGTCTTCACCCTCGCAGGCAGGCTCGTGCAGGGCTCTCCCGCAGGCCCGTGCGGCCCCCGTCATGGCTGGGTCCCCCATCCATTTAGAGAAGGCTCTGTCAGGTGTGGGCAGGACGGCCCGAGGACCGCCAGGCTGCCGCTCCCCGGCTCGGCCTGCTGGCTGGCTGGAGGAGCAGAGCCGGTTCCCGGGGCCGTAGGTTTCGCCCAAATTAGCACAAATAAAGACAGAGCTGTAAGATCCAGGGGCGCCTGCGGGGTCAGTGGGTCGAGCGTCTGACTCTTGATTTCACCTCAGGTCATGGTCCTGGGGTCCTAGGATTGAGCCGCGCTTTGGGCCCCATGTTCAGCAAGGAGCCTGCTTAAGATTCTCTCTCCTCTCTCTCTACCCCTCCCTGGCTCACACACACGTGCTTGTCCTCTCAAAATAAATAAACATAAAAACAAACAATCTTAAAAAAAAAACGAAAAAAAGCTGGAAGCTGCAGCGCTGGCTAGGCCACAGCGAGCTCCCTTCTGGGCAGCACTGCAGGGGGCAGCAGTTAGCACCGGGTGCCGGGCGGCCCAGGCGCCCCACTTCAGGGAAGGGATTCCAAGGAAACTGTCCAAGAGGAAGAGAAAAAAATTAAAAAGCAATTTGTACCAAGATGTTCACAGTCACTCAGTCTTCGAGAGCCAAAGGCTGGAAGGCACCCAACGTCTAACACCTCAGTGGCAGCAGCCAGACCCGGGCTGACACCCAGTCCTCTGGCCTGCTGGCAGGTGTGGCCGTGGGCGAGTTCGGAAGCCCCCAGGGACCCCAGCTTGTCTCTCCGTCAGGGAGGAACGAGCCAGGGAACGGCAGCCTGCGAGGGTCCTCCGGGAGCCTGTCCACCCACCCCTGACTGCAGAGCCTCCTCTCGGGCTCCGAGGCCCCAGCTGGGCTGTGACTAGAGGGCCTGGGGCTGGGGGGTGGCTTCGAAGACCTGAGGACCTTGAGAGCTAAAAGGACTGAGTGACCTGGGGTGGGTGTGAAGGGCCAAATCAAATGGCTGCTAAAAATTCAAGACCTTCCTTTGCCTGAATCTAGATAAGGTGCCGGGGGCGGGGGGGGGGGGGGGGGGGGGGGGGAGATGAGGGCCCCACCTGCCTGCTGCCCCTGCCCCCCATCCTCAACCCCCAGCCCCCCTCCTACAGCCTCTAATCCCCCCACACCCTCTCTGAACTGAGGCCTGCCCCCCCCCCCCTCCGCCTTCCGCACAGGCCTTGGGACCAAGTGCCTGAGAAGGCTCAAGCGCCTAGAAACCACCAGGGGGGCCTGGAAACAATCTAAATGGCAGAGTGTAAGGTGCTTCACCGGTGACTCTTCACAGACATCCTCTCCCTTGACTGCTGGGGTGGGAGTGGGGGCAAAGGGCCGAGACCCAGGCCTGGCGCTCCCAGAACCTGTCCTCGGACTACCGCCTGCCCGCCTGGGGCTCGGGCTAGCCCTCCTCCTGCGGGCCTGGAGCCCTGTCCACCGCCCCTGGGCGCTGTCACTCCGTTCAGCCTGTCTTTCCAGGCTGGGTGGTGTCCCCTGGACTGAGGAGTCAGACCGCAGAGAACAGGGCTTCGAGGCAGCTCTGGGGCAGAGTGGCCCAAGCCCCAGGTCCATCACTAGGGTGACCCGCCTGCTCCAACCAGGATGCCCCTAAGGGGCCCAAGGCCTTGACCCTTGTCCTCGCCAGCCCCCTGGCCCCCTGGAAGGGGACAGAGGGAGGGAGAGGGCCCTGTATACACCGACCAAGGAGAACGTGAGGACTGAGGCAGAGGAGCCACCCAGGTCTTCCCCCAGACCCCTCCTCTTCCCCTCCCCTGACCTCCCTCCTGGGCCGCAGTGGCCTGGGACTACTCACTCTCCGTTGAGCCTCAGTGCCTCATCTGCCCAATCCTGGCAGCCCCTCCCTCACTGGGCCACGCCAGCAGGGCTGGGGCCCAGGGACTGCACGGGCCTCCCCAGGCAGCCAGCAGAGGCCTGGCTCACAGTCAGCTTTCAGCTACTCGGGGCCTTCAATGACCATAATTAAATCCCATATTTTAAAATCTTTCCTGGGGCCCCTGGGTGGCTCAGTCGGTTAAGCATCCGACTTCAGCTCAGGTGATGATCTCACGGTTCGTGGGTTCGAGCCCCGCATCAGGTTCTGTGCTGGCAGCTCAGAGCCTGGAGCATTTTCAGATTCTGTGTCTCCCTCTCTCTCTGCCCCTCCCCTGCTCCCGCTCTGTCTCTCTCTCTCTCAAAAATAAACAAACTATAAAAAAAAAAGAAAAATCTTTCCTAACATGGCTCAGTCGGTTAAGCGTCGGACTCTTGATTTTGGCTCTTAGGTCATGATCTCGCGGTTCGTCAGATCAAGCCGCACATCAGGCTCTGTGCGGACAGCTTCGAGCCTGCTCGGGATTTCCTCTCTCTCTGTACCTCCCTGCTCGCACGGTTTTTGTCTCTCTCTCTCAAAATACATTAAAAAATAAATAAAATCTTCCCTAACAAATAACAATGAGGCCCAGTGGGGCCCTGCTTCTGTGGGAACACAAGGGCCCCTCGTTCTGTCTCCAGCCCCGGGAGGGCCGCGGCCTCGTTCACAGTGAGCTAGGCCCAGCCCCGAGGGACACGGGCGATGCAGGCTCTCCCAGGGAGTGCGGAGCTCAGCAGCAATGACCCCCAGCCCCGGCCGCAGGCCGTCTCAGCTCCAGTGCCCAGCTGGCAGAAGGTCCCGGAGCCCTGTCCCAGATAAACCCGTGTGCACCCACATGAGCCTGGGACTCAGTGGGGGCCCCCACCCTGAGGGACAGAACCCAGGTGCACAGACTTCCAGGCCAGATAAGGGCTGGTGAACAAAGGCAGCCCGCCACCCCCCACCCCCCCCACCCC